GCAAAAGCAGATTTAGCAAAAGAGTGTTTAACACGAGTTAAGAAAAAGCGAGAAGAAGAAGACGATCGTAAACCGTTTAGGTTCAATTAATATATCTGATAAATACTTAGGAAATAATTTAGATTGAGACTTATACATGAACGTGCAAATTTTAAAAATTATTCTATATTTTGTAGGTAGCCAGTGCAAGAGAGCAAGATATGGAGATATATGAGAAAAGAAAGGGGCACGAGCAACTAGACGAGCAGCAGAGTTAAAAGCTTTACTTAAAGGATAGAGTATAGAGTCAGGAAGCCGGATTTTATGTTATTGAAAAATGACACCCTAAAGAAAATATACATCCTGACATTGAAAAAAATACATCCCGGGTAAAATAAACACTAAACCAGCAGTTCGCCAACATGATTTCGATAATTTTAGTTTAAATGGTCTATTGCCCATTGTAAAGCAGACATACATGGTACATCATCGCTAACTCTTGGCGTACGAGCGATTGTTGTGGTAGCTTCTGCCTACATTACGTCAAAAATATGTGGTGTCGCGCAGTGTGTTTGCGCTTCGTCGTGTGAGGAATTTGTAGTGGAGGTGTACTTTATGTGGTTGTATGTCATGTGTTGTTCACACAAACACACATACACGGACGCGCACACACACGCGCACACACACACACACACACATACATACATACATACATCCACGGAGGCGGATGAACTTGGCCATCATGGTTTTGTTTGTCGTTTGGGCGGAGGTCGCCAGCAGCGACATTCAGCCATAAACGATTTTGTGTGCCGACTTTTCTCCAAGGCCTCAATTCCGGCTTTAAAGCAACCGTCGGGCATTGCGGCGCACGACGGTAAACGCCCTGACGGGTGTACCTTGATCCCTTGGAGAGCCGGCAGGTGCTTGGCGTGGGACGTTACCATTCCGGGCACCTTTGCTGAGCGCTACGTGCAGCTTACTAGCAAAGAAAGCGGTTTGGCTGCAACCAGGGCATCTGACGAGAAGATCAAAAAGTACGACGGAGCTCTCCCCTCGATGGAGTTTTACCGATTTGTATCGAGGTCCTCGGCCCCATGGACCGTAACACCTCCGGGTTTTTCAATCGAATTTGCAAAAATATCAGTATTAGGTCAGGCGATAGTAGGGAATATTTTTTTGCTATGAATAATATCTCGTGCATTCTGCAGCGGTTTTTGCGCGTCTGTGTGTTGGAAAATGTGGAGTTGAATGCCGACGGGGTTGAGTGACGTTATAGCAAATAAAATCAAATTTAGTCAGACGCTTGGCTTTTGGTGTCATTCGTCAATGATTTGGTTTTAACATACATACATACATACACACACACATACATACATACACACATACATATACACATACAAACAAACATGCATAGTTTCAAACTTATTGATAAAATTGATATTGTTGAGTTTTTCCTTTTTTTAAATACAGTAAAATTTACAAAAAAATTATTTTTCATTTCTAAATTTTCATTCGATCTCTTAGAAGCATACCTATCTGAATGAATTCACAAATATATTGCATTATTGGATATGAAATAAACAATAGTTCGCAAATAAAATTCATTGTTGGAGTATAAAATTTGAAAATAATAATGAAAAAACTTTTGAAATAGTACGCCGCGACTGAACAATAGCCAAATAAGTGAACAATGCAGTTTGGTGAATTGGAAAAATAATTTAAAACAATGTGCTCGGTGAAATGAAATTGATGTACCATTGTCAGTCTGTGTTTCTGTTGCTGTTGTGTTGTTGTCGTGTGTGTTGTTGTATTTATCTGTCTGTATGGTTTTCAAGTTGTTTGCTTGGATGTTTCTTTGCAAGGGTGCGAACTTGCTGATTATGTTTGCTTACATTTCAGAATATGCATGTAGTTGTTTACGTCTTCATGATCGTTTGTGTGTGTGTATTTCTGAAAGTCTGTTGCGTTAATATTGCGTGTGTATTGCGCGAGCATACACGTAGGTAGGCATACATATGTGACTGGCGATGACGAGATGATGGTTGCGTTTGCAAATGACGTTGCATATTACCAGCTTACTGGTGGGAGAAATCATTTGCAATGGTCGGACAGATTACGTTTATAATGTTATCAATTTTCTGGCTGAAACTTGAAAATAATTTACCGTTACATCAAAGAAGCTCTCCAATAATTGTTTTGATGACTTTTTAGAAATTTGACGCAAAAAATTTAATTGATAAAGCTGATAAAAAATGAAGAACGAATATTATAAATGAAAATGATTGATATTAATTAATGATAGCTAGATCTGCCATCTAACTGTAGAAATATTAAATACGATTTTTAAAAAAATACTTTAATTGTAGGATTTCACAAGTTTTGGATCACCATAGTCGGATTATCTTTCAAAGGCATTGAAAGGGGTTTAACATTGATGTTTCCATTAAAAAACTGTATTTAGGCTTTGCAAAAAAACCAAATGTCTTAACCATTCAACCATCTATGTAGCTTTACCTATATATGAAGATATATATATATATATATATATATATATATATATATATATATATAATTCAGAAAAAATTAATTAAGAAATACTGGTATTTCGCGGTTTCTTTGGTAGTTTAATAATGGTAGTGAATAATGCGTAAAGCAGCGCGTGCTTTTATATAAAACATATACTTAAGAATAGAATTCATTTTAATTTATTAGTATTAAAAATTTATTTTACTTTTTCTTCAAAACAAATAAAATGTTATTAATCATTTTATCAAACATTAAATAATAATCAATTATTTATATATTATATATAAAAATAAATAAATGAATATAAACGGTTAAATAAAAAAAATAGACGAATAATATTAATATTACGAAAATAAGAAAAAATAAAATTAAGAAAAAAGAATTTCCCCATATAAATGTCCGAGCCTTACATCCTGTTCATTTGCATTGAAAAGCCATTCCAAATTTAATGAAGCGAGCACATACAAGATGTTTGTGTTTATGTATTTCTATTATTATTCTTTTTATTTTACATTTCACATTATTAATCTTATTATATTTGATTTATTATTATTATTTTTATGTCCAATAATATTAATTTATTTGGGTTAGCGATTCTTGTTATTATTATTGTTATTATATAGTCATAGCAATGTTTCTATTATTATTATTATTATTGTTGTTGTTAATTATTTAACCATATTATTGGTTTCGTTTTTTAACATTTAATATATTTATTTACAAATAAGCCATATTTAATAAATTATTGAAATAAAATTAAACAAACTTCATGGCATAATTATTTATATTCTATTTTATACTGCTGAACGACGCAACAGTTTCAAAATTAACCCAAATATCAAAATTAATAAAAACCAATATGGATAAGAAAGTTACTTAAAGTTAAATATAGTTTTTCAACAAACTATTAAAAATGTTTTATAATAAAACTTAAAGTGATAAGTTATATTAAGCAGAAACGTTTTTATATTTCAAAATATAAAATTAAAAAAAAAATCCATTTGAAAATAAATCTTGAAACATAAAAAGCACGAGACATCGTTCGAGCGATGGAAAATTTTGTAAACTCTGAATCGTTTCAACTTAATAAAAGTTTCCAGGAATAATAATTTTATTTATTTACGTTACTATTCTATTTTATTTCAATTGCTTTTTAGCTAAATTTAATTAATTTCCTTAAAAAAAACTTGTTCTTATAAACTCTGTTACAAAATTAACAACTCCAAAATTAGAAACATGAATAATATTTAAGAAAACTTCTTTATATTATATTTTCAATAAACTATTTCGAATGCTTCGTTGTGAAAGAAGAAAATAATTAATAATAATAATAATAATAAATAAACAGTATATGTATTTTCAATTAAAATAAGGAAACTTGGAATATACAAAAAGCATGAGACAGTATGCGAGTGAATGAAAATTTTGTAACACGACATAGTTTTAATTTGAGAAAAGTTTTTGGAAATAATGATTTTATTTATTTACATTATACTTCTTTAAAATTTCAAGATATTTAAGTTCTTTTATACATTAAATAATTTTAATCGAGATTGAGATTATCTATCAAGTTGATAATAATCTAAATAAGCTCTCAATCGCTAATTGTCTACATTTAATTTCATTCAAAGTTAACTATAAGCTAATAGCATGATGTATGAACAAAACATAAATAAAAATATCAATATAATGTATGGTAATTATTCAGAAATCATTTTATGATTAATTAATTTATTTTACTATTTTATTTTATAAAGATAGAACGTTAATTATCGAATTAAATGTTCATTTATAAATAAATTAAATTGTAAATTTTTAAAAAATTATTGATAATAAAATAAAAATAATAATAATTTTGTTCTTCATTCTGGTATTTTCAAAATTTGTGAGTGTTTATAATACGACATTTATTTAATTATTTCATTTAAAATAAAACTCACGATGAAAGGTTTAAAAAACAACTCAAGTTATAGTAAAAATTTTCATTCATTATTTCTTTTGCGTTCAATATTTATTTAAATGCTAATCTTTAATTTTATATAAATTCAGTTTATTATTCTTTTTACAAAACCGCGAAACATGAATTTAGTTTCACCAAAATTAATTTATATTTTATTATTTTTGTAGAGTTAGTTGTTTAAAATTCAATTTAATTTAACACTACAATTCATAATGCAAAACCAGACCAAATAATTACTATTACTTAATAACACTACACTGTAATCACCATACGATGCTCAACAACTGTTATAACTTATAACTGTTATAATATTACTAAAGATACACTTCAAAACTTTTACTATCACTTGATTGTACTGTAGATACTGTATCACAAACATGAGCGATTTAGATAAATTTTACGCTAGGGGCCCAAATTTAAAAAAAAATTAAATTTTACGGGCCAAACGGGCCGAGAAACTAACTAAATTTATAACAATATGCCAAAAATTAGGTCATTGAGCGCTTTTTGGTTCATCACGTCAATTTTGGTCAATTTTTCACTAAAAACTGACTTTTTGTGATTTTTAACAAAAATATTGCATACAATGTCAAGCCATGGTCTGTATTGGCTTTCTTAAATACGCTACTGCATGAATCCGGTAAAAAACAACAACCAGCTTAAATCACTATTTTAACGTCACATTAGAAAAACTCGAGCTCTTGTGTGTGCTCCGTAATTATCGAAAATGAAAACTATGCGGCCGATTCAAGATATTATTTTATATATTAAAAACCAAAAGTAAATTTTATACTGAAAGGAGTGAGTCTTACATAAATCTAAAAAATAAAATCAGCTTACTTCACTACATCAGGGCCACATTCTAAAAAATGAACTCTAGTGCTAATTCCAAAATACATAATGATGAATCGAGTTACTACCAAAACTGAAAACCACGACATGAACGATGATGTTGAAAATTGTTATAAGCAAGAAGCAAGTATGTATTATTTAGAAGACAATAGAGACAAACCTACTAAATATGAAATGCTTTAGTAAATTATTTTATTCGTTAAAATGTTTCTAAAAAGAAAATAATAACATTCATTGTAACGCTGAATTCATAGTACTTAACATAAGTAATAACTGCCGTTGTTTTATGCTTTCGAAACTGAATACCACATGAATCTGGTAACAAACTATCAGCCTATTATTTTATATCAGCGCCGCATTTCAAAAAAATTGAACTATAGTAAAACATAATGATAACTACTCGGTCGATTCAAGGTACTATATAAAGAAACGTCGATATTTCCATTACCAAATTTTATATTTTTATGCTCAACAGATTAAGTAATTAAAGCTACATGAAGCTTCTAAAAAGACTGCCTGCATAATTCAACGCCACATTCTAAAAATTTGAACTATTGTAACGCATAATGGCAACTATTTGGTTCATTCAAAATGCTTTATATTAATTGTTAAAACCAAATTATATATTTTCATACTCAGAAGATAGAGTACTACACGAATAAAATAAAAAACTACCAGCTTAATTCATTATATCTGCGCCTTATTCTCAATAATAATTGAAATGTAGTTCCTAGTTCATTACGATAACTTTTCGCGTCTGGAAACTAAAAATGATAAATATTCCTGTCTAAAAGTTGTTGACTTTTAATCGCAACATTGCCCCCGCTGCACAAATTCGCCACTGATCACAGAGATTCGAGGAGGTCTGTTGCACTCTTCCTAGGTTCACAGGGATCAACAGCGAACAAACTGCGTGCGTGAGTACGTGCTAAACGACGCATCACGTACGAAACCATTGGTAGGCCAAGATTTTTTTGTTCTATTCAAACCCGACCACGGCATGCATTGCGAAACAACACAAGATAACCCCGGTAACAAGATGGCCATCACACCAATGCCTAGGCTATATCTCAAGAACCATACGATACGATGCTAAACAGTATGATAGGGTACGAAACTATTATTTATGGCATACCTTATTTAACGATATTATATTATTATGATATTGCGCCCTGTACTTAAACCTAAACGCTCCGGATTACAATTATCTTCTTCTTATCAACTCCTATTAAACACTTTTGCTAAATCTGCATTTGCCTTTTCAGACTCTTTTTTCTGGAAGTCTCTACCTTCTTCTATAACTATTTTTTATCATTCACAAAGTTCAGAGCAAATTTTAAGACTCGTCCGACCAAATGAGCCAGTGTGGTTCATTTCTAATTCATCGCACCATTCCAAAAACTATCGAATTATAGTGCGTGTTCTGATAAACTATATATAAATGATAGTCATTCGGTTAATTTTAAATATTATATGTAAATGACGTCAAGATTTCCATCAACCAATTGTACACTTTCAGTCTAGAAGTGAGTACTGCAGGGATCTATTAAAAAGCTATCAATTTATGTCACTATATCAACACCACATACCAAAACTAGAAGTATATAGTTCGTCTACAGTAAAACATGACGATACTGCTCGGTTGATTAAGACAGTATAGTATATATCACAAACATCGAGATTTCTATTAACAAATCATATTATTTTCCTGTTCAAGAGACTTAGTACCGCATGAATCTAGCAAAAAACTGCAAACTTGATTCGCTATATCAGTCCCATAGTCCAAAAAATATCGGAATATAGTGCGTGTTCCGTGATACCAAAATAATGATAACTGTTCGGTTGATTATAAATACTATGTATGAAAAAGTTCAAGATAACATTATTAAATTATACATTTTTATTGTTTCATGCTCAAGTTATTGAAAAACTACCAGCTTAATTAACTATTTTTTAACTACTTCTCCATCACTTGCGAAGTTTGAAGCGGATCTCAAGACCAATCTGTTTGCAAAATTCATTGAGGAGCGCTGTTGAACATCGCGGAAAAAGCGC